TACGTATATATCGTTGATATATATTATCGGGATAAAAATCGTATCTCGTTAAGGATCTACCGTTGGGATAGATCATCGGTATATCGTTGGGATCTATCATATTGTTGGGATAAAAATTATATATATCGTCGGATCTATCATCGATATATCGCTGGAATTCATTGTCGCCGAATTTGTCGAAATAGATCATCGACTATGTATATATCATCGGGATAGAAACTATGTATTCCGTCGAATATGTATATATCGTCGGGACAAAAATTATGTATATATCGTCGGGTTAGAAACCATGCATATACGATAAAATTATGCATATATCGTCGGGATAGATCGTGTTGATTATGTATATATTGTTGTGATAAAAACTATATTGTTATGATAAAATTTGTTTGTGTATATATCGTTGTGATATGATAAAAACTATATTATTATGATAAAAATTGTTTATATATATATTATTGTGATAAAAACTATGTATATATCTTCGAGATAGAAACTTATCGTCGACTATATATATATTGTTGGGATAGTAACTATGTATGTATATATCGTTGGGAGAAAAATTATGTATGTATATCATTGGGATAAAAACTTTGTATATACAAGTTTCGATATAAAAACTAAACTACTATGCATGTCTCGTTGGGATGGAAACTATGTATGTTTATCGTCGGGATAGAAGCTGAAACTTAGGTATCCTTAGGATAAAAACTATGTATGTATATCGTCGGGATAGATATGTATATCGTCGGGATACAATCATCGGGATAGATATGTATATCGTCGGGATAGAAACTATGTATGTATATCATCGGGATAGAAACTATGTATGTATATATCATCGGGATAAAAACTATGTATATACAAGGTTCGGGATAGAAACTAAACTATGTACATATTGTTCGGATTAAAACTATGTATGTATATCGTCAGGATAGAAATTGTTTTGATAGAAACTATGAATGTCTATTGTCGTGATAAAAATTATGTATATACAAGGTTGGGGATAAAAACTATGTATATATATATCATCAGAAGTTAGGTAGCATATCCGAATATCGAGCAGACCAATTTTATCCACAATTTTCAATCCGGATGAGTTTTCTACAATACTTCCGGATATGGAAAATTTGGCCCTGCGCAAAAAAATTTTTTTTACCAAAAACAAAATTAAAACAATTTGGGAAAAAAATATATTGCTCATATGAATGATACAAACAACTTTTAGCTTGTGGGCAGCTTTGATATCTCCACATATAACATATAATAAAATAGAAGCAAACAATAATATTGAGATAATAAATTATAAAATACACTAAACAACCTCCCTCTTCACCCCTTAATTCTCTATCTTTCCCCCTTTGAACCCTTCATTACCCTATCAAGCTTTTCATGAAATAGAAACATCGTTCTATTATATTTTGCATGCGGAATATCACTTTTATTTATTTTTATTATTATTTTTTTCTTTTTAATCATTCGAATTTTTCGATGTACCCTACCCTTCGATCATCAGGCCAGATAATCCGACCAAATTATCCGAACAGATAACCCATGCTACCTCGATCATAAGGTCAGGATAAAAATCGGGATAAAACTATGTATATATATCGTGGGGATAAAAATTATGTATGTATCTATAAGGTCCGGAATCGAAACTATGTATATATATCGTAGGGATATATTATATATACACCGTACGGATATATATCATCCGGATAGAAATTATGTATGTATATATAAGGTTGGATATATATCGTCGGGACAAAAACTATGTATGTAATATAAGGTTCGATATATAACTATGTATATAGGTTAGGATAGAAACTAACTTTGTATATTGGTTGGGATAGAAAAAACTGCTACGTATATAGGTTGGGATAGAAACTATGTATATATAAGGTCAGAACAAAAACTTAGGATGGGATAAAAACTTACTATGTATATAGGTTGGGATAGAAACTAACTATGTATATAGGTTGGGATAAAAACTATGTATATATAAGGTCTAGATGTACAATCGGAATAGAAACTATTTATATATAAGGCATATATAATAAAAACTATGTATATATATAGAAACTATGTATATATAAGGCATATATAAGGTTAGGATAAAGACTATGTTCAATCGGGATAGAAACTATGTATATATAAGACCAGGATAGAAAAAAGTCAGGATAAAAACTATGTACAATCGGGATAAAAACTATGTATAAGGTTGGATATATATCGTCCGGCCAGGTTCAAAATA